ATACGCACACCCACACGCACACGCACACGCACACGCACACACACAGTCACACACGCAAAAACACACGCGCACAACGCCCCCCCCCCCCCCCCCCCACACACACACACACAAACACACACACACACACACACACACCCACACACACACACACACGCAACGCACGCACCCACGCACGCACGCACACACGCACGCACGCACACGCGCACCGCGCACGCGCACGCGCACGCGCACGCGCACGCGCACGCACGCGCGCGCACGCACACGCACACGCACACGCACACGCACACGCACACCCACACACACACACACACTCACACACACACACACACACACACGCGCGTACACGCACACGCACAGGGCTCAGGGCACTGGGCGCACGGCGCACACGCACACGTACGCACACGTACACGCACACGCACACGCACACGTTCACGCACGCGCGCACGCACACGCACACGCGCACGCACACGCACACTCGCACGCGCACGTGCATACGCACAAACACACACCCACACACCCACACACCCACACCCACACCCACGCCCACACCCACACACCCATGCACACACGCACACACACAGACCCACACCCACATCCTTGTTCCTTATTGTTATATACCCCCACCTACGTCGTATTCCGGCCGATAGCAACCCGATCCGGGACCTCCCATCCGGACTGTAAACAATCAATACAAAGTGGCCGTTTTTCTTCTCAACATCGTCTTTCTTGTCGTCGACGATGCGAAAAGCGTGGCAGGAATGGGACGCGGCGCACATCGCGCGCGGCAGTCAATCTGGGCCCGCCCATCCTGACTGTAAAAATCAATACAAAATCTTCGTTTTTCCGTCTCAGCATGGCCTGCCTTGTCGCCGACGGTGCGACATGTGTAGCAGCAGTGGGACGCGGCGCACATATGGGACGCGGCGCACATCGCGCGCGGCCGTCAATCCGGGCCGCCCATCCTGACTGTAAAAAATTAATACAAAGTCTCCGTTGCTTCCTCTCAGCATGGCCTGCCTTGTCGCCAACGGTGCGAAAGATGTGGCAGGAATGGGACGCGGCGCGCATCGCGCGCGGACGTCCATGCGGGCGGCGGGCCCTCCCATCCTGACTGTAAAAAAATACAGAGTTGCCGTTTTTCCTTTCATCATGGCCTGTCTTGTCGTCGACGATGCGAAATGCGTGGCAGGACTGGGGCGCGGCGCACATCGCGCGCGGACTTCTGGGGCAACCCCAAGGCGGGAGGGGCCACCTTACTTGTCAGAAACAATGCCATGCTGATTTTCCATGCCCACTTCGCTGTTCTTGTCGCCCAGCCCGCAAAAGTGCATGGCAAGAGTTGGGCGCGGCACCCCCCCCTCCCCCCCCGCGCTGACATGCCCGCGCAGCCCCCAGTTGTGCCATCACTGTTTCTTATGTTGTGGGAGGGCGGGTGGGAATGGGCATGCCATGCTTGACTTGCTCGAGCTGGCTAGCTTGACCCACGCCCACACCCACGCCCACACACACGCACGCACGCACGCTCGTTCGCTCGCTCGCTCGCACGCACGCACGCGCCCCCCCCCACCACACACACAGACAAACACGCACACACACACTCACGCTCACACTCACACATTTACACACCCACACACCCACCTACCCGCACACCCACACTCCCACACACCCACACACCCACTCAGACACACACACACACACATAGACACACACACACACAGACACACACACAGACACACATAGACACACACACAGACACACACACACACACATCCACACCCACACCCACACCCACACCCACACCCACACCCACACCCACACGCGCACACGCACACGCACACGCACACGCACACGCAAACGTACACGCACACGCGCACACACGGGGCGGCGTCCGTGGGCGACCTGTGTGCACCGTACCGCGGTGGTGTCTCCTGCGGCGTCGTCGATCCTCGACCCAGGCATACCCTCCCCGCGCGCGTCCTCCCCGCGCCCTCACCGCGCGCCCTTCCAGCGCGCCCTCTGCGCGCGCGCACTCCCTGTTCCCGCCACGCGCGCGATCCGCGCGCGCACCCTCCTCCTCCTGCTCCTCCTCCTCCTCCTCCTTTTCCTGCTGCTCCTCCTGCTGCTCCTCCTGCTGCTCCTCCTGCTGCTCCTCCTCCTCCTCCTCCTCCGCCTCCTCCTCTCCTCCTAGCATCCTCCTATCCTCCGCCTCCTCCTCCTCCCCTGGCGCCGCCTCCTCCTCCTCTTCCTCCTCTTCTTCCACATACGCCGGCTCCTATCCCTACTCCCGCTCCTACTCGGCCCTCCTCACTCTGATGATACAGTCGGACCGCATGAGCGCTATTTTGTTCGGGCGGGTAGAAGCAGCCACGTTTAAGTTTGTGCAGGGCTCGCAGCTTACGTGTTCGATCGCCTTGGGTTTCTTGGTGCCAGATTGGTCTACGCAAGCGATCAAGAAATTGCTTGGGTCAGGGTACCCTGGGTGTCTTCGTTTGTGGCGGAAGTGCAAGAAACTCGACCCTGGACCAAGAAACCTCGGCGGATTTCAGGGTTGGGTTTGTTGCGACGGGGTTCGTGTGAATTAATTTCCACTGTACGGTGCATCGTTGTTCGGCCTTCAGAGCCGAAAAAGCTATGCACTGCACCGCGTTGGAGTGGGGCCTTGGGGGGGTCCGAACACGGTACGGCGCATGGGCGCCGTCCTCGTGCGGAGGTTGGCCGCATCCGCCAGAGCATCATCTTCGGCGACCACGGCCTTGAGTTCTTCCTGTCCGGAGACCAGCTCCTGCGCGGAACGGGGGGGGGGTGGGCGGCTGGAGGACGGCGCAGTTCAGACGATGGCGAGTCGAGACAAGGCAAAATGAGGAGGAGGCGGAGGAGGAGGAGGAGGAGGGCGAGCGGGAGGAGGAGATGGAGGGGGGGGAGGAGGAGAAGGAGGAGGAGAAGGGCGAGCAGGAGGAGGCGGAGAGGAGGAGGAGGCGGAGGAGGAGGAGGAGGAGCAGGAGGAGCAGGAGGAGGAGGAGGATGAGGGCGAGCGGGAGTAGGGGGAGAATCTGAGGAGGGCGAGTTGAAACAGCGGTAGCTGGCCTTCGGGGGCCCCCTTGACGCCACGGGGCGCCAGCAGGAACAGAGGAGCAAGAAGCAGGCTGCCGCGTCGTCCTCGCAGGAGGTGTGCTGGCGACGTATGCAGCTGTTTGCAATCACAGGGACTTGACGCAGCAGTGGTTGTGGACAGAGGAGGAGGAGGACGAGGAGGAGGAGGAGGAGGAGGAGGAGGAGGAGGAGGAGGCGGAGGCGGAGGAGGAGGAGGAGGAGGAGGAGGAGGAGGAGGTTGAACGTGGAGTCCGCGACAGCCCATGTCTGCGAAATTGTTCTGCGCGTCAATCCCCGCAGTTGGGCGACAGCTCTGCTCAGGCACCGTCCTCTCTCTCTCTCTCTCCCACCTCTCCCTCGTCGCCATGGCCGGACGCGGCTCGGAGAGCTGGTGCACTTGGGCCCCTGGGGAGAGGTCCGGGGACCGACTTTGAGCTGCACAGTTGTCGACTAGATGTAAGAGTGACCTTTCGCCGGAGTTACCCTCGGTGCGGGCACACTGGGGCCCCCCAAGGGACTCAACGCGATGCGGTAGCAGCGTCCTGCGCGCTCGGGGTTGGCCTCCCCGCGTCCCCCCAAAAGCCGCGCACCACAGGCCACTCTTACCCACGGTCACTCTTGCGTGTAGTCGAAGTTGCCTCGGCCCACCCTGCTGCGAGCAGCGGCGCGGGCGCAGGCTTCGGAGGTCCGCGCGAGTGTCTCTCGGGTCAGCGCTGGGCCCTCCTCCCCACACCCCAGTGGTGGCGCCTTTGGGCGCCGCCCCTGGCGCGCTCCGCGCCGGGGAAGTGAGAGGGGCTCCAGCGCTGACCCAAGACGTCCGCGCTGATCTTGGCAGCCTTATCCTTGTCGTGGCTTTCCACCGGTGGCGTCTCGCTTTATCTGGACCTCCCAACTGGGGTCGGAGTACCGCGCCGCATCGCCGATGCATCGGCGGTGCGGCTCGATGTGCAGCACGATCTTCTGGACGCCGACGCCGCCGATGTGTCGCCAATGCATTGGCGATGCATCGGCGATGCTGCGCGATCCTGGGAACCCCATGGTGTTCGGACTCCACTGGAGAGGCCTCCGTTTGCGAGGCCAAGAGGTCCTCCCTTGAGGAAGCGGAGGCGCAGGCGGAGGAGGAGGAGAGGAGGAGGAGGAGGAGAAAGGAGTCGGAGGCGGAGGCGGAGGCGGAGGCGGAGGCGGAGGCGGAGGCGGAGGAGGATGAGGAGGAGGAGGAAGAGGAGGAGGAGGAGGAGGAGGAGGAGGACGGCGAGCCAAAGGGAGGGGCCCAAGAGGCGCCCCAGGAGGGCACCAGGGTGGCCCCAGAGCGGAGCACCGCGTCGGTCTCGAAAGTTGGCGGCTCGCACGAGGCCCAGCTCCTCCTCCTCCTCTACCTCCTCCTCTTCCACCTTTCTCCTTCTCCTCCACCTCCTCCTCTTTCCCCCACCTTCCTTCTCCTCCTCCTCCTCCTCCTCCTCCTCCTCCTCCATCTTCCTTCTCCTCCTCCTCCTCCTTCTCCTCCTCCTCCTCCTCCTCGGGTTCTCTCTGGTGTTTCTGGCGGGGCCGCGATCTCTCCCATGGGGGGGAGTCTGGGCGGCGGCCATCGCGGGTGCTGGGCCGTGGAATCGGGTCTCTCTTGAGCGGCCATGCCAGCATCCTCCCCCTCCGCCTCGCCTCCTTCTCCTCCTCGTCCGCTTCCTCATCTTCCTCCTCCTCAGCCTCCTCCTCCTCAGCCTTCTCCTCCTCCTCTTCCTCGCCCCCTCCTTCGCCCCCTCTCCCCGCCAAGACGCCAACACTGTTTTTCATCCTGCTAAGATCCTGCCGCGACCATCCGATGCTCAATGCAGGATCAGTTTGGGTCTGAACACTTGTGTGTAATGCAGGAGCCCGTGTCTTCGAGCTAGTGTTTTTTTGTAATCGCCTGTCTC